TATTAATTTCATCATTTTAGATGATATTATTTTTAAGTGAAAATTATATTCAGTAATCATATATGGCAAAGCTTAATACAAATCATCAAACATCAATATTATTAAAAGAATTTTGAATTTTTTTTTGTATGTGTATAAACGTGACGATTTTTAAAAGTACGGACGAACATACTCGACATTATCAGAAAATGAAAAAACGATTATAGTAAATTTAAAGTCAAAGTTTCTAAAATACAATAACAAAGTAGATTATGAAGAATATTTTCCTAAATTTCTAAGATTACTAAGTACTTAAAAATGATATAAAAAAGGGGCTCAGGTGATTTTCTTAAATTCTGTTTACAGATAAAGTTTCCGTAGAACGACATTAGATCTGTCATCAGGCTGTCAACACGACAAAACAGCTGCTGGCGGGTTAAAACACAGCTATTTTCGTGTTAAAAAAAAAAATTCTTCTGTGATATTTTAAACTTAAAATAAATAATATTTGCTCCAAATCAGCTTAATTAAACTTTAAATCAGTTAATATTCCTCAAATAAAGTTTCAGAAAAGTATATTTTACTTTTGGAAGATTTTTAACAAAGAGACGACTGAAAGGAGAGCCAATCAGCTGTTTTAGAAGAAAAAAACTAATTTCAGTCAATTTAAGATTTTTTCATATTTTAAAATTCATTTCTAAACCTTAGGTATCGCGTTTCTCGGGTGGGCCCTAGATGGAAGAATTTGCAATCTGAATTATCTTTCTTTTTTTTTTCCCTTTGGGTTTGTTTTGAAGAGGGTATCCGTATATTGTCATAATGGTAAATAACTGTTAACTTTCTGTATACTTTCGATATAATGCTTCGTTTATCCGATGAAGTTGCTAGATATAAACGTCTGTAGTGATGCTCTTTCCATTTTCCAGGAACTTGTAATGGACGACACTTTTCATATTCCATCAGGCACAAAGAAAGAATTTCGGGGGGGGGATCTTTGTTGGCACGGATTAATTATTTTATTTTAAGCAGTCTTTTTGGACTAGAATGAGATATGAAAGGGAAAATAGAATAAGAAAGAAAATCTATTGCAAAGAAAAACAAAAGAAGAATTAAAAAGAAGAGGGAAAAAAATGAGAAAGAAAATAGGAAGGAGAATAAGATTAATAGAAAAAGAGGAACAAGATTAAGAATGAAAGAGAAAAGAAGAATACGTTGAAGAATGAGAAAGAAAATAGGAAGGAGAATAAGATTAATAGAAAAAGAGGAACAAGATTAAGAATGAAAGAGAAAAGAGGAATACGAAAAAGAATGAGAAAGAAAATAGGAAGGAGAATAAGATTAATAGAAAAAGAGGTACAAGATTCGAGTCATTTTAAATTAGTTTTTGAAATATAGCAAAGTATTTTGCTAATTAGGAATATTAAATTTAATCTTTTATCTTGAAATTAAAATTAAAATAAAATCTCCAATAAAGCTTCTTTTTTTTTTCATTTATCAAACTTGATTTTAAACTTTAGGTTTTTTGGTTGATCCTCAGTATTGTCTTTACAGATATATTTTATTTACCAATGATTTTAAAAGACCACACACATATATATATATATATATATATATATATATATATATATATATATATATATATATATATATAAAGTTTTCATGATTTGCCACTTTATCAAAGTGTTAAGATTTAATTTTATTTTTTTATAAAAGTGTTAGGATGTTTTAAAAGATTGAAGTTTTTTCATTTTAGTTCTTTTTGCTAGAAGCTCCTTCACTTAGCGAAACGAATTTTTTTTAAAAAATATAAATGCAATAAAAAAACAAATTGACACTAGCTTCCCTCACATCAAATCTCCAATTCCGCCATATGCAGCCTTCCACGGTTAGAGGCTCATCGAATGCAAACAATGAAAATCTTTTTCTTTTTTGTCTGTTTTTGTTTTTTTGTTTTTTTTTGTTTCTTTTGCGACAAATTTAGAAAGGTGAATTAAATTGACAAAAAGACAAACGTGTTCCGCTCCGCAAAGACAAAGTGAAAGGTTTTTGAAAGATTAAATTCTAAAACGGGAAACAAATCTGGCAAACTCGCTGTGACATTTCAAGGATTTCCCCACAATGAATCAGAATCACTTGGCAATAATTGATGAAATAATCGATTGATTCTTGCAATTCAATTTTTCCCTGTCTCACACTTACTTTATGCAACTTAAAAGCAAAGTACACACAAAAAAGCACACACACACACACACACTCACACACGTATACATAGATAAGATACATACATATATTTATATATATATATATATATATATATATATATATATATATATATATATGAAGAAAAATATACTGAAAAAACAAACAAAAATCCTAATATGCGATTATGCTGTTTTAATGTTTAATGCCAACGTCAGACGTTTCGGTCTAATAGACCATCTTCAGGACATATTCATAAAACATAATTAACATAGACCATATACAATTCAACATGAAAAAGACGATGGACATAAATTGAATGTATATTGTTATGTTTTATGAATATGTCTAATAAATTAATAAAGTAAAAAATAAACAAATTAATAACCCACTCCCGCAAAATAACCGCTAGAATAGACGACAACAATCAATCCAAAAATTGGACGAGAAAATACCTATATCTGCTATACAACGATAAAAATTAATACGTTACTCAAAAATCGAAAACCGAATAGAGTTAACAAAAATATGTAAAATGATAAATAAAAAATAAGTAAATAAATAAGAAAAAAAGTAAAAATTATTCCAAATAAATGAACAATTTAACAACTCGCTCCCGCTAAAATAACCGTTAGAACTAATAACAGTAAGCATAAATAAGCAAAAACAAGTAAAAATATCCTAATAAATAAATAAAATAATAAACAAATCAAAAAATGTCCCCCGCGAAAATAACAGAAAAGACTACGGCAATCAATCCAAAAATTGGACGAATACATGGCTTTATGTTCCCAGACCAAAACATATGAAATAAAAAATGAAAATAAGGAACACGTAAAATAAATTAACCTAAATAAATAAATAAAAGAGCCTTGAAAACTGTTGAATCATAGCTACGAACGATAATGGTTACATCTTCATTCTCATGATTAGAGTAGTAAATACTGTATGTTTGTCTGCAGTTGGAGATCCAGTGTGGAATTCACTTGACTCACTTTTAGCAAATGACAACTTCTTCTACGCACCACTGGTAAATCTTATATGTGCTGTTCTTGTCCTAAGTATTATCCTTCATTAACAACCTTCGTATGACTATTCTATTCAATAACGTTCCATAGGTTAAAACAAAAACCTTTATACTTATTATGCATACTGCTTAATATATATATATATATATATATATATATATATATATATATATATAGATGCGCGGTACTGATTGGAAAGCACTCAATATAAGTGTTAGAGCAATCATATTTGACGATCGCAAGGCTGTGAATCCCAGGATCATAAACTTACATCAATCCAAGTATATATATATATATATATATATATATATATATATATATTACATATATAAAACGCAGATTGTGTGTGTGTGTGTGTGTGTGTGTGTGTGTGTGTGGTGTGTGTGTACGTTTATATATTGGATCGGATTTTCTACATTTTTCAACCGATTTCAACAAAACTTCACAGGACTACGTAAAATTACTTTGCGGTCGTTCTGACAGCGCCAGAAATTGGAAAAACACAATTGTTTTTGCATGAAATCAATTTGAAAACACGATTAATCGCGAGAATGAAAGGGGGACAACTCATATCGAGTTATACTCATTAAAAAAACCAGGTTGTTTTTGTGTGTGTGTGTTCGTTTATATATGGGATAGTATTTCCTACATTTTTCAACCGATTTCAACAAAACTTCCCTTTATTTTGGCAGGTAGTGTTTCTTATTGTCTTGCACACTTTTTTCTTTATTTTTACATTCAGAATGCTTTAAAAATTCCATTTACAAGACAATTGTTTATAATAAAATGCTATTCAATCGGTAGACTCATAACGCTTGAAAACAATGTTTTTGTTTGAGTTTGGGTTTGAAAAAAAAAAACTATATAAGACATGCGTGTCCGTCAACCTTAAACAATCATCTTTGTCAATTTTATTTTTCAGTCTTTATGATGGTGGATACTTGATCTCTCTCTTACTGTTACATCCCCGGGCAACGTCGGCTCTACTGCTAGTGTATATATATATATATATATATATATATATATATATATATATATATATATATAAGACATTTTTTTATGTTTATATGCTCTTTTTATTTCCTTTTTTTCCTGCGTGGGGGATGCGCATCGAGCAGATATAAATGTACGAGAGAAAATCATGGAGAATTGTAGTTTTAAAAACGGTAAAATCGACCCTGGTAACCGAAACGCTCTTCTGTGGCTAAATCGGTTAAAGCACGTCAGGCTATATAACGGTTCCTCATAGGATACAGGCTCGATTCCTGTCGGAGGACGCATATTTTCTATGACAATTTCTCGGACATTCAGGGCGGCAAATGTCGTTAATACTGTTTTATTAAAAGCAGAGCTTTTACTTAAATATTTGTATCTATAAAAAGAACGTATAAACATAAAAAAAACGTCTTAAAATAATTTTCGGATATATAAATCAATTAATTTATTATATTAAAAATATCTATAAGAACACCGGATTATATATCTTACCGTTCTTATATTTATATATATATATATATATATATATATATATATATATATATATATATATATATATATATATATATATATAGAGAGAGAGAGAGAGAGGGGGGATTTGTATTAATCAAACAGGTTTATTACCTTCGACGTTCTTTTCGGGTGGCGGAATGGTTAAATACGTTTGCTTTTGAATAATGCAACTCAGTTTCGCTTTCCAATAATAAGAGGCGTGTTCACTTTCCGTGGGGTTCGTTTCCTAATCATGAAACCCGGGTTCGATTTACCGACAATAAGCCCCGGGTTCGCCTCCCTCCTATGATACACCCGTTCTTTCTTTCTTTTAAGCATTCCTGCCTTTTGTTCTCTTCCGCCTTCCGTTTCTTCTTCTTTTCTTTCAATATTCTTTTCGTTTTTCAGTTTCTCCATTTCTTTCTTTCTTTCTTTCTTTCTTTCTTTCTTTCTTTCTTTCTTTCTTTCAATGTTCCCTTTCCTACATGTCTCCTTCCTAGCTTTTCTTCTTTTTCCTTCATTCCGTCTGTTTTCTGTTTATTTCTTCCTATCTTTCAATATTCCCTTCTCTTTTGAGTTTATCCATGTCCTCTTTCTTTCTTTCTTTCTTTCTTTCTTTCTTTCGTTGTTATTCTAATAATATAAATCTTTATATTTCTTTCATTCTTTTCTTTCTTTCTTTCTTTCTTTCTTTCTTTCTTTCTTTCCTTCTTTCTTTACTCTTCTGTTTTACCCTTCCCTATCTTTCCTTCTTTTTCCCTTCTTTCTGTCTTCGGCCTTTTCTTCCTTTCTTTCAGTATTCCTTTCTCCTTTGATTTTCTCCATATCTTCCTTCCAACGAAAAAAAAGAAAAGAAATCTTTCCTTTTTTTTTTTCTTTCTTTCGTTCTTTCTTTCTTTCTTTCTTTCTGCTTTTCTCTGACATCTTTTTTTTTACGCTGACTTCTGTCACGAAAATCATGTGGATTAAGCTGAATATGAAAAAAAAAAAAACCCAAAAAAACTGTGGAATTTCCCCATTACCGAATCTCCCGAAATTCCACCGAGACATGCCAAACAGTTTTGGAAATACCACTTCTTTCCTCTTGGGGCATTCTTAAAGCTGACGTGATTAATATTTAGTTTATTTTTTATTTTTTGTTAAATACAAAACAGACAAAAGAAAAATTACCGACAGATGAAAAAAATATCTTTATTTACCTACATTATATTTATTTCTATTTCATATATATATATATATATATATATATATATATATATATATATATATATATATATATATATCCTGAATGATTGAGTGCTTTTTTTAATTACAGTTTTCCTATTTCAGTTTTATTTTCTTTAATTCTCTTTCTTTCTTCTTTTCTTTCTCCTTTTATTTCACACCCAGTATCTTTCTCAATCTGTTCATAGCTATCGATCTCTGATCACTATCTTGCGATTTAATATCTGCATCTATTATTACGATTATTACTATTTCTATTTCCTCGTACAATTCTTTCTTTCTTTCTCTCCCCACTCAATTCTTTCTTTCTTTCTTTCTTTCTTTCTTTCTTTCTTTCTTTCTTTCTTTCTTTCTTTCTTTCTTTCTTTCCGATTCCATATTCTACCACAGACTCTTCATATCTGTTTCTCTAGCTACACAGTTATACAGTGTGCTCATATCTATGTACATACTTACTTTTCTTCCTTCCTTCCTTCCTTCCTTCCTTCCTTCCTTCCTTCCTTCTTACTATCTATATAATTGTTTGTCTCTCTATCTATCTATCTATCTATCTATCTATCTATCTATCCATCTATCTATCTATCTAAGCATTTCCATATCTATCCATCATTTTGCATCTATCTAAGCCTTTTCATATCTATCTATCTATCTATCTATCTATCTATCTATCTATCTATCTATCTAAGCCTTTTCATATCTATCTATCTGTCACTTTACATCTATCTAGCTAGCTAGCTCTGTTACTTCACATCTATGTATCTATCTATCTAAGCATTTTCATATCTATCTATCTAGCTAGCTAGCTAGCTAAGCATTTTCATATCTATCTATCTAAGCATTTTTATATCTATCTATCTATCTATCTATCTATCTATCTAAGCATTTTCATATCTATCTATCTATCTATCTATCTATCTATCTATCTGAGCCTTTTCATATCTATCTATCTATCTATCTATCTATCTATCTATTTATCTGTCTAACTAAGCCTTTTCATATCTATCTATCTATCTATTTATCTATCTATCTATCTAAGCCTTTTCATATCTATCTATCTATCTATATATCTATCTATCTATCTAAGCTCTGTTTTCACATATCTATCTATCTGTCTACGCATTTTTACATCTATCTATCTAGCTAGCTCTGTTACTTCACATCTATGTATCTATCTATCTACGCATTTTCATATCTATCTATCTATCTATCTATCTATCTATCTATCATTTTCATATCTATCTATCTATCTAGCCTTTTCATATTTTATATCTATCTATCTATCTATCTATCTATCTATCTATCTATCTATCTATCTGAGCCTTTTCATATCTATCTATCTATCTATCTATCTATCTAAGCCTTTTCATATCTATCTATCTGTCACTTTACATCTATCTAGCTATCTAGCTAGCTGGCTCTGTTACTTCACATCTATGTATCTATCTATCTAAGCATTTTCATATCTATCTATCTATCTCGCTAGCTAAGCATTTTCATATCTATCTATCTATCTATCTATCTATCTATCTATCTAACTAAGCATTTTCATATCTATCTATCTATCTATCTATCTATCTATCTATCTATCTATCTAAGCATTTTCATATCTATCTATCTATCTATCTATCTATCTATCTATCTATCTTGACCTTTTCATATCACGTTCTGAAGTGACACGTCACATAATACAATGAAGGGATTTACGAAAATATCTGCAATATTAATGTGCAGGACATTTCATATCCTCCTTCCTACCCTCGACCATATGTCACACTGTCGATATGCCAAAAGTTTTAGGAATTTGGCAGGATTTTCCCATTTTTCACATTACTAAAACTCCAAGAAACTTTATGTTGTAATTGAAAATTATAATTGCAAAACGTGAGCAAACGTTTACAAAGACAAATGGTTCGACCAAAAACTGAAAAAAAATATCTAAGTGTCACTGGAAAGTTAACATTAATGTCAAATGTAAGCTCCATGCTGAGGATACAATCGACCGAACACGGCGAGGTTTTAGAAAAAAAAATGGAAACAAAAAGGAAAATATATACTTAACATGCGGAAGACAGAGCTGAAATCTCTGGGATAAATAACGAAGAAAGAAGGCTTGGAAAATCTGATACTCACAGGACAGATTAAGGGGAAAAGGGACAGAGGAAAACAAGGCAAAACCTGCCTAGCATGTCTAAGTAAATTAATGGCGAAACAAGGTTTAGGAAAGAAAAGAAAAAGACAAAATTTATTAAGAGCTACAAGGAACAGGAAATTGTGGAGAGCCATGATCGCCAAATTCCTGATAGGACAAGATATGTTGAAGAAGTAGAAGAAGAATAATTGAGGTTCTACTGAAGGATGCTGGGGATACCATGGACCGAACATCTGAACAATGACAAAGTTTTTGTGCAAATAGAAATATAAAAAGACCCTTATACTTAACACCAGGAAGGGATAGTTAAAATTTCTACAGCACATAATGAAGAAAGAAAGCTTGGAAAATCTGATACTCACAAGACAGATTGACGACAAGAGGGACAGAGGAGAACAACACATAAGACACATAATGAGGAAAGAGGGCTCGGAAAATCTGATACTCACAGGACATATTGAAGGCGAGAAGGACAGAGGAAAATAACGCATAACCAACACAATGAGGAAAGAGAGTTTGGGAAATCTGATACTCACAGGACATATCGAAGGCAAAAAGGACAGAGGAAAATAACGCATAACCAACACAATGAGGAAAGAGGGCTTGGAAAATCTGATACTCACAGGACATATTGAAGGCAAAAAGGACAGAGGAAAATAACGCATAACCAACACAATGAGGAAAGAGGGCTTGGAAAATCTGATACTCACAGGACATATTGAAGGCAAAAAGGACAGGGGAAAATAACGCATAACCAACACAATGAGGAAAGAGGGCTTGGGAAATCTGATACTCACGAGACATATTGAAGGCGAGAAGGACAGAAGAATTCAACGCATAACCTCCCTAGCGAGTTTGAGTATTGATTTGCTAAGCATTGCTTAGATGTGGCACAAGGCCGAAACTATGGGGTACCCAATGAGGATCGAACTCACCAGTCAGTCGTAACAGTTTTTGCGAGACAAGCTTGCTAACCATTACACCACGCCGAGGTGCCCCTAGCGAGTTTGAGTAAGTCGATTGTGGGACAGGGTTTAGGAGAGAAAACAAAAGGACAAAAATTTATTAAGAGCTAAAAAGATCAGGAAATTGTGCAGAGTCATGATCGCCAATGTGCTGAAGGGACAAAGTATATAGAAGAAGAAGAAGAAAAAGAAGAAGAAGAAGCAACAGAATTGAGGTTCTACTGAAGGATGCTGAAGATCCCAAGGATTCTTTGTTGTTGTTATCACAAAATCTCGATTTTTCTGTGTGAATTTCAGGAATGAGGAGTTATGCTTATTTACACTATTTACATTCAGTCTATTGTCTTCATCTCTCTTGTTTTTATCACAATGTTTCGATATTTCTGAGTGAATTTCAGGCATGAGGTGTTATCCTTATTGCCACTATTTATATTCCGACTATTGTCCTCATCTTTTTGAGATTGATTCCAATGAGAACAGCCGTCTGGCACGAGAAAATGTACCAATTTTCCTAGCTGTAGGCTTAGCAATTAGTTCAATAGAGCTGCCCCACTTCATATCAGTAGAAAATATGAACCCAAGAAAGTGTAACATATTGCTCACCAGGAGTTTAGCGACAGCCATGTTAATGACAAGCAGAAAAATGCAGACAGCATAGTTTCTCTGTAGTGATTAAATGAAAGCAATTTTGAATGTTACTGTAGAAAGTAGGAAGATTATGAGGATAGGAAGGATATATAAAATTGATCCTTAATTTTATTATTAGTTTAGAGGTTTACTCGTAGAGGATGCTTGTTGAAATTGTTATCACGGATGAAGCATGTGGTATGAATGAAAGGGAACGTGGTTGGAAGTGAAGATTATGAGGATAGGGAGGGTAGATAACGAAGGATTCTTGAATTGAAGAGGTTCATATTGTTAATGTAAAGGTTTTCTGCTAGAGGCTTCTTCTTCAAATTGTTATCATGGATGAAGCATATGTTAAGAATGAAAGGGAAGGTGGTTGGAAGTGAAGATTATGAGGATAGGGAGGATAGATAAAGACTGATCCTTAATTTTCTGATTAGTTTAGAGGTTTACTCGTAGGAGGGTGCTTGTTGAAATTGTTATCATAGATGAAGTCTATGGTATGTACGATAGGGAAGGTGTTTGGAAGTGAAGGTTATGAGAATAGGGAGGATAGATAGCGATTGACCCTTAATTTAGAGAGGTGAATATTGTTAGTGTAGAGGTTTTCTGGTAGAGGGTTCTTCTTTAAATTGTTATCCTGGATGAAGTATGTCGTAAGAATGAAAGGGAAGGTAGTTGAAAGTGAAAATTATGAGCATAGATGTGTGCAGATCTACATCGCACACACATACGTGTATACATAAATACAAATCACATACCACGACAAGCATTCATTAGTTAATAAATCACCACTACGTTATTACAGACAATTTTCACATCGCAGCAATGCGACAATTTTGTAATCGCTCTATTTTCATGCAGTCAATTTTGTTTACTTTTGGGAGAAACGGATCCGAGAAACTTTCTTGAGTCTCCCCAAAGCTCGCTCATTGATTGGTCAATGCCAACCAATCAGATTGTCTACACGTGAAGAATAACTCTTCCCACGCAGCGATTCAGAGCCTATGGTCACTGTTGAGATGTTGAGTGTTTCCCCGTGCGTGTATTGAAATAAGGACAAATACATACGTAGGGAAAAATACTGGTATATCTGAAGAGGTATTTACAACAGAGAGATTAGTAGTCAAACGAACGCAGGTTAGTCAGTAACAATCAGAAAGAGTATAAAGTCCAACTGTATCTTCCGGTAGAGAGACGGAAGTGTGATGGTCACCTGATCTTTCCAGAACTCTATAGAACTGTCCTATTAGTAGTAGAGAGATCAGTCCATTCTGATCAGAAGGTGGGTGCGCCCCAAAAGTCACCTATATAAGCAAGAAATATTTTTACATAATTAGTGAGATTTCAGTTGAATCCACAACAGTTGAAACCATATGCCAATCTTCTCACTCATGCCACCACTCACATGCTGAACATTCCTTACACTCACATAATATTTTCTTATACAGCAAAACTGTTGAGAACATTTATTACAAGAAACTATCACAAACTTTCTTTCAGTGAACTTTGAAATAGAAAATAATAGTTAAAGAGAGACAACTCTTGTTTTATTCAACCTTTTCTTACTTAAATGCATGCTTTCTTTCACATCATTGTTTGATATTGTACATCTTGTTAAATACATATTTTATGTCTAATGATGTCTTTTGCCTATTCTTTTTCAGGTCAGTTTTGTTTCCTAATCTAAAGTTAAATTAATGTGGTGAAGTTCGCCACAGATGTGCACTTACCTGACGAGATTGCTTGTATGTATGTCGAAACGGGATATAGGCGCCTTAGCAAAGGGAGAAAAAAAACTGATAAAAGTTTCACGTGATAGAAGGTTGTGGACAGCCATGATCGC